TTTATCTCTTCATTTGATGTTTTAGGGTTTCAGGATTGTTGTATTCTCTGTTTGGCTTAGTTTTTCAGATCTTTGCTATGGAGGGATGGCATGGTGCTTCTGCCTAGAGCACCATTTTAAACATATAAATCTTTGATTATGACTAAACTATTCAATGATAAGAGACAAATATATATGATATATATATCATACATGTATGTGAAACGAAAATGAGCTTCTTTACTTTCTCTTGCTGAATAATAATTTTCATGAAACATCTCATACATATACTTTCTTGGGAAAGCAAACAACAAAGAACTTGCTTTAAGATTAGAGTTAAGCTCTTACATAATGCTTGCTGTTGTTGTTAGGTACTGTCGAGTCGGTTCCGACTCATAGCGACCCTATGTACCAAAGAACAAAACACTGCCTGGTCCTATGCCATGCTCACCATTGTTGTTATGCTTGAGTCCATTGTTGCAGCCACTGTGTCAGTCCATCTCATTGAGGGTCTTCCTGTTTTTCGCTGACCCTGTACTTTACCAAGCATGATGTCCTTCTCCATGGACTGATCCCTCCCGACAATATGTCCAAAGTATGTGGAAGGTAGTCTTGTCATCCTTGCTTCTAAGGAGCATTCTGGTTTTACTTCTTCCAAGACAGATTTGTTCGTTCTTTTGGCAGTCCATGGTATATTCAATATTCTTCACCAACACCACAATTCAAAGACATTAATTCTTCTCTGGTCTTCCTTATTCGTTATCCAGCTTTCACATGCATATGATGCAATTGAAAATACCTGGCTTGGATCAGGTACACCTTAGTCCTCAAAGTGACATCTTTGCTTTTCAACACTTGAAAGAGGTCTTTTGCAGCAGATTTGCCCAATGCAATACGTCGTTTGATTTCCTGACTGCTGCTTCCGTGGGTGTTGATTGTGGATCCAAGTAAAATGAAATCCTTGACAACTTCAACCTTTTCTCCATATATCATGATGTTGCTTATTGGCCCAGTTGTGAGGATTTTTGTTTTCTTTATGTTGAGATCTAATCCATACTGAAGGCTATGGTCTTTGATCTTCATCAGTAAGTGCTTCAAGTCCTCTTCACTTTCAGCAAGCAAGGTTGTGTCATAATGCAGGTTGTTAATGAGTCTTCCTCCAATCCTGATGCCCCATTTTTCTTCATATAGTCCAGCTCCTCGCATTAGTTGCTCAGCATACAGATTGAATAGGTATGGTGAAAGGATACAACCCTGATGCACACCTTTGCTGACTTTAAACCCTGCAGTATCCCCTTGTTCTATCCGAACAACTGCCTCTTGATCTATGTACAGATTCCTCATGAGCACAATTAAGTGTTCTGGAATTCCCATTCTTTGCAATGTTATCCATAATTTGTTTTGATCCACACAGTTGAATGCCTTTGCATAGTCAATAAAACATAAGTAAACATCTTTCTGGTATTCTCTGCTTTCAGCCAGGCTCCATCTGACATCAGCAGTGATATCCCTGGTTCCACGTCCTCTTCTGAATCCAGCCTGAATTTCTGGCAGTTCCCTGTTGACATACTTCTGCATGAATGATCTTCAGCAATGCCTACAACCTCTCTATTAGCATTCTCTCTAGGGAACAATCTCTGGGGATAAATGCTCAGTTGTTCAGATTTCCTATCCTTCTCCCTTCTCTTCTCCAAGATGGCATCTGAGTTTAATAGGAGGCTTACAAGACCTTGTGATCCTGGGGTGCAAGGGGTGTCACCTGGCTTTACAAGGTGCTTGGTTACAGTTTGGCTGAGTCTATTGAAATGGGCTTAGTCTTGCCTGGGGATTATGAGGTTGCCCCCACGCAGAGGCGTAACTAAGGTATGGCAGGAAGGGCACATGCCCTGGGTGCCACTTGAGGAGGGGCGCTAATGAGCCATTTCTGTTGACCATTGCAGTTTCCATCGCCAGCTTTGAGAGATCATGCAGCAATTTAAAACTAATTGCCACAGGCACTATTTTCCGTAGATAGGCCCCTATCCCCATGGAAGGCTGTAGTTGTCCTATCTTGTGTTATTTCTCAGCCTGCTTAGGCCCAAATGGTATTTCCTGCTGACTCAGCCTCATCTCACCCTCACTGGCCCTGCCAACCCTGAGGTCTTGCTCCAGAGGCCCTCCTGGCTCTCCTTGGGATCCCTATGCCTCTGTTGCTGTGGCAACACCCTCCATTAAGTTCACCTGCTGGGTTCTCAGGAACCTGAGTCTCCTCTTAGGGGATGAGAGAACAAGATTGCAAAGGGAGTGCTAACAAAAGCTCTCTCTCAGACTACAACATCCTCTCTCCAGGTTATTATGGGGAGACTATCACAATGTTCTCCTGGAGTTCCTAGGGGAGAAAATGGAGCTAATATCCAATACGTTGTTCTTTACTCAGTCAGTCTCACATGCCTCCCCTCTAGGACTTAGGCAGGAAAGGGGAGATAAGGACACACATCTGAGTACCTGTTCATCTCACCATTAATTTCCAAATCTACTGAAGTGGGAGGAGTAAAATTTTTCTTTCATTTCCCTTTGTTGTTAATACTGTCTTCTATTATATATACTCTCTTACTCTCTGGCATGGCATTCCACCACTTCTTTGTCTGTGTGGTTAAAATATGGGAGAGGCATAAGGAGAGAGAAATGGAGACCATAATTCAGAAGGTGCTTATCATGTAAGCAAATGCTTATTAGTCATTCCTTATTAGTCACTCACAGAGTTAATAAAGAAAGGCTGATGGTTTATTTGTCTGCATTACAGTGGTTGGCTTGTTTTTTAGTATTTTGAGATGAGATACGATTTCATATTTCACATCTATGTGCTAAGTCCTTGCTACTCAAAATGTAGTCCATGGGCCAGAAGCGTTGGCAACGCTTAATAGAATCGCAGAATCTCAGACCCCACCCTAGAACTACTGAATTAGTATCTGCGTGTCAAGGTCTTCAGCTGTTCTTTATGCACCTTCAAGTCTGAGAAGCACTGCTCTAGGCCACATAGATTTCCTAAAGGTTTTGCCTGTATCAACTATACCCATCCTTGACATCCAGTAAATATTTGTTAATCACTTCTATGTGTTAGCCAGTGATGATCCTTGCCCTTGAGTGCTTAAGGTCTTAATGAAGGATCTTTACAATCATGGTAAAGTAATTAAAATAAAATAGGCAATTCTAGATCTAGTCTCCTTCATTACCAGGCACACCTTAAATTTTTTTTAACAGATCTGTTATGATTAAGTTGTACGTTATTAAAAGTGGATGTTAATTTTTCTGGAAAGAAGTCATTTAATGTATAGCATGAGACAGGAACAAGATAGTAATAAGGTACTCACTTGATAAATCCAGGTTCATACCTGCGACTGCTGCTTCATTTGTACTGATAGAGTTTTGCTCAGTTGTAGTTTGACAAGACTCTAGGATTTCTTTTAGGGGATGATTTTTTGAGGGAAGGACAAAGTCATAGTTTTCCATTCTGCGCTTTCATTTTCTGATCACATGTTTTAGGAGAATCTGTGCTTTACTTATTCACCAGGCTTTCAATAGAGAATCACATTAATCCTTTTAAGCTCCTTATTCTAATGATTTATTTTGTTGAAAACCATAGTGATCCTCCTTTGAATTTTAATGATTGCTGGCTATTCAAGGATTCATTGTTTTGACTTCCTGTCCTTACCTTTGTTTCCTACATGTCTGTGGGGAACACCTGTCTAATACTGGATCTGCCCTTCGTTCTCACTGGCTTACCAGAGTCACTCAAGCCTAACTCGGAGTGTTAAGCTGAAATGCTGGCTAGTCATCCGTGACAATAAATGTAGGATATATGTTTTCAGAGATAGACAGATAGACAGCAGAAGGACAGATAAGTGATTGAGTCGTTTCCCAGTGAAAATAATATTTTGGATATGATAGTATATTGTGATCACTGTAGAGAAATTAGTTAAATATAGTATGCTTAGTCATAAATCTATTGAGATACAATGTTTATGGGAAATCTAATAGACAAGAGAGGGTTTCAGATTTTGAGGGTGCTATCCTCACTCAAAATTCTGGACCACGTAACCTTCCACAAGTCACCGACTCTCCGCTTATCCGTGTGTTAAATATGGTGGTGCTCTTTCTCAAGGATATAGCACTGGTTATTTTGTTCAAGTCCTGCAAATCCTCAGCACGGTATAGCAAATGGAAATTGCCATGAAATGTCCAAAGTATGAGCATCGGAATCACATGTTATGTTTTCAAAATCCAAACAGTGGCTGTGTCACAGGCCTGAGTTCCTATTTTGCCCACTGCGTAACCACACAGAGAATTTTTCCCTTCTCTTTTAACAGGTATCACCTACGAACACCATGGGTTTTCAAGAATATATTCTTCTAATATGAGATTTTAACAACTACACTGTATTTATGCATAATACATTTTGTGCCTTATCTACAGGCTTCTGGACTTTGATTCAGAATATCAGGAGCTCTGGGATTGGCTGATTGACATGGAGTCCCTCGTGATGGACAGCCACGACCTGATGATGTCAGAGGAGCAGCAGCAGCATCTTTACAAGGTTAGTGCTACCCTCCCTGCCTTTACCTTGCTGTGGAAGATCTGATTAGCCTGACAAGTCTCTCTCTCTCAGGATATCTTTGCGTTCATTGTATGTATCAGGGTGTCTATTTGAATTCCCTTCCCTGTCCCCAAACTCATTTCCATCTCTTGTGTGCTGACAGGCTGCACCAACATCATAATTGCAAGAAAGTTCCTTTTATCACATTCTGTTTGGTGTAATTCTATAGAAAGACAAAGATTTATCTTCAAGATGAATAACAATAAATGAAACTGCAGTAATAAATAGACCGAAACAAAATGAAGGATAAATGGACTGGTAACATTTAACAAAATGTGCTTTGATTGGAGCACTCAGGTGGATTTTATCCACTCCTCAGCTCTTCCCAGAGAAAACAGAAATGTGCCTTCATTTTGGGTTGCTGCTGCCAGGTTATAGGACTCATCCAATTTAATGTTTATGAGCAATGCATAAAGCAGACGTTGTCATATTAAGTCAATACATTTACGTGTGATTTAAGAAAACTGACTTGGAACTCACATATTGATTGCAGGCAATCCGTCTAATAAATATCTGTATTGTTTTCCACGTCTGCTAACTCACCTTTAGCCTAGTGTATTTTAGCAATTCCACTTAGCAAATAGTCTTAGAAGTTCCTACAAAACAGCCATGTGATTTTGACTGAAAAACGGCTATAAGCTTCACAGTGCCTGAAAAAGCTGTCGGGGGAGGGAAGAGGGACTTTCCACTGAAATATCAGACTGCAGTAAATCTTCCTCATTTAGGCAATTTTTATTGGAGTAATTCTGACAGTTGTCATCCTTGAATTGCTTTGAGCATATGGCATATTTCAAAGAGCAGATTGTGAATCATAAAAAATAAAATTAATAACTAACCACAGAATCAGCAACAGTATAATGACAAGAAACAACTACCCTCTAGCTTTTTAAAATTTCTTACAGAATAAGAAGTACATTCAAGGTCAAATAAAAGTTGTTTTCTTTCTCCTTCAATTTTATTATTTTGGGTTACTTTTTCTTTCATAGATCATCCTAACTTTTACCTCTTCTAACATATTTGTATTTTTCAAGAGTCTGGTCGACTTTAATTAACGTCCCCTGGGAATCATCTTAGTTAAGAAAAGATGTAAACTTCCCCAGGGACTCAGCAAATGGGGACATTGCACTCCCTAGAGAATTTGGGCCAATGTTAATTGAGTTTGTTGACTATTAGCTGTTTTCTGTATGGATAGCTGTCCACATTAATAGCAAAGCTATTCACTATATCTTCTGGTGCAACACACTGTTAGAGTAACAGTCTCAACCTAAAGGAACCAAAGCTAGGTGATTATACATCTCATCTCAGACTCAGTAATTATATATGAAAATTTTCTATAAATTTATCTTAATTCAGTGATAGAACAATATTTGTTTTATTACTAAAACTTATCCATTAAAATTTGACCCAAACAGAAAAAATAAATACAAAAGATTATCTAATCATAAAACATTATCTCAGACTTTACTGCACTCATAATGTCAAATAACGTTTCCTTTTTTCTTGATGCATTTCATATATTGCCCATAAGCCACTGTTTTCTCAAAAACAGTGCTATTCTTTGTCAAAATCACATCCATATAATTTACAGCACAATTAATAAGAAATCATTGAACATATAAATCATTGAATATAACTTCTCTGCCTGAGAATTCCCATTTTGGCAGATTGCAGACCATTATTCCACCCACTCAGTACTTCTGGGTTATAGTATTTTTCCAAACATTTTCCTTACTAGGGTTCTTGTTTGTGACTGATGTCCAGTCATCATCCTTCTGCTTTTAGATGCTCAACATATCTCAGCTCAACAAAGAAGTATTAACTGTGCATTTGGCTTGTAAGCAAAATTAGATTGAGTTAGAAACTGAAGGCAAATGCTACAGGTTTCTAGGGTCTCTCTTTATATGATCCCCCAAGTTATTCTACAGGTTTTAGAACCTCCAAAGCAATACTGAGAATACTGACCAAGGAGGATTTCATTTAGAACTTGGGATGGCTTCTGAATTAGAAAAACTGATAGAGGAGGATTCATTTCAGATCTTTCCCAAGAATCCCCAGGGATTCCCAGGTTAGATCAACATTTTCAACATCCCATTCCCCTGTTCTAATCTGCTTTTCTTGAAATCAACTGAACAGACATCTTAGAAGGGGGAAAGTTAGAGCTTATTGATCATAGAGACCCTTGGAGGAGCTAAGCTTTTCAGTTGGTTCCCAAGTCTTCCTAGACTTTCAGTACCATTTGAGGCTACCTTAATCACTGTCATGGATTGAATTGTGTCCCCCCCCAAAAATGTATGTATCAACTTGGCTAGGTCATGATTCCCAGTATTGTATGATTGTGTAATCTGATGTGATTTCCTTATGTGTTGTAAACTCTATCACTACACTGATGACATCTACAAGATTAGATAGTGTCTTAATCCAATCTCATTTGAGATATAAAAGAGAGAAGTGAGCAGAGACACACGGAAACCTCATACCACCAAGAAAGTAGTGCCGGGAGCAGAACGTGTCCTTTGGACCCGAGGTTCCTGCGGTGAGATGCTCCCAGACCAAGGAAAGACTAATGCATCACAAGGACCTTCCTCCAGAGCTGACAGAGAGAGAAAGCCCTCTCCTAGAGCTAATTCCCTGAATCCAGACTTGTAGCCTACTGGACTGTGAAAGAATAAACGTCTCTTTGTTAAAGCCATCCACTTGTGGTATTTCTGTTAGAGTAGCACTAGATGATTAAGACAATCACCTTGACCCAAAAAAAAAAAACATGATTTATCAGCATTTTTCAACGTGGGCACCACTGACATTTGGAGCAGAACAATTTTTTTGCTACCTTGTGGTACTATCTCTTGAACTACAGGACATTTGCAATTCATGTTCCCTAGTCATTGTGACAACTCAACAGGGCCTGCCCCATTTCCAAATGCATCCCTGTGTTGGTGGAGCAGTTATTACCTCTTGGGATCCAGAACCACTGCATAACTGTTGGACTTCCCGCTAGCCTAATATGAGCTTCCTTAGGGGCCAGTTGTAATGCCTTTAGGGAGAGCCTGTTTTTTTCCATTTCCCTTGGTACTAATTATATGCATTTTCACAGCATGTCAAGTCCATCTCACCTTTCCTCTCTCTTGTCAATTTTGTTTACTAAAATTTTTCTTTTTTCCTCTATATTTACAACCCTTCTTGAGTCAAAGTTCTAACTCTTCATTCTCAGGCATTGGGCAAGCCAATCTGCATTTAATAAGCTTCATTGTCTACATTCTTTTCAAAACTTTCATAACACTAAGAACAATACCTTGTACTTGTATTCTTTACATTGTTTAGAAAAGCACTTTGCATAGTTGATATTGAACTAACAGTTGTTGAGTAAAAGGATGACGGATGGAAATGAAGCTCAAGATCCCTGGTATTAAAAAAAAGGATGAGGGTGAAACTTTTTAAGGGAGACGTTCAACGATGTGATGTTAAATCCCAGGAAACTGTAGACCTAGGAAGAATCATTATTCCTGCTATCTCAGAATCTGAAACCTTTGTTCTCTTCTCCAAGGGTGGCTCTCTGTATTCCATCATTCAACTCCTTTACTGGCACAGATGGTCCTGCCCAGATGCTGATTCATGCATTGCTCAGTCCTAGATTGTTCCAAGACCCACATTTGGAAATGTTGGGCTAGAGACAATCTAGAAAGATGGTAGTCAGTTGCATTAAAGCTTATTTAGCCTTTTCACATTAGGTACTACCTTCCTGACTTTACCTATTTACTATATATTCTGGTTTCCACTAGAAAGTCACCTGGCCTTAACCCCTAGGTGTGGAACTAGCAGATAAATAGCCCAGACTATCCATTCAAGAGAACTCTTGACTGGGGAACCTGTTGTGATGTCTCAGTCACCTAAAGCCAGGAGAATACTCAAGGAACTTACAAAGGTAAAGAGTTGGATTTAACAGCAAACAATATGTTGACACAACTTGACATAATTTTCCAGTTGCCTTGGAATCAACTCCAACTCATGGTGACCCTATGTGTATCAGAGTAGTACTGCACTCCATAGGGTTTTTAGTGGCTGATTTTTTAGAAGTAGGTCACCAGGCCTTCCTTCTGAGTTATTGGCTGGGCTTGAACCTCCAACCTTCCAGTTGACAGCTGAACAAGTTGACTGTTTGCACCACCCAGGGACTCCTGACATAATTTAGAAACCTTAATACTACAGTGAATTTTAAAGTGTGGTTTCTGTTTGGATTGTTAGAAATTTGAGATTTTTTTTTAAATAATTAATTCTAAGCTCTAGCATCCTAAGAATAACCTAATTCTTATTAAAAAAATTAACTACTCCCTGTTTTAAATGGGAGTCCTGGTGGCACAGTGGTTAAGAACTTGCTGCTAACTACAAGGTCAGCAGTTTGAATCCACCAGAAATTCCTTGGAAACTCTATGGGTCAGTTCTACTCTGTCCTTTAAGGTCGCTATGAATCAAAATCAACTCAACAGGTTTGGTTTTTTGTTTTTGTTTTGAGACAGTGAACAATACTTCTCCCTTCTCTGTCTTGCTGCAACCCTAAATAGGTACCTTCTGTAAGCATTTTCTAATAAACATTGGCAGTATCATCAGCCCAGAAAATGCAAACATAGTCCTTTCTTTTTTTCCCCTCCTTTTAATCTAAGAATTACCTTCGAGGAGAATTCTCTCCTACTCTCTCACTTTCTGTCTCTTCATTCCTCCTACCTTCCTAAGTAAGACAATTTAATTTGTCAAAAGTAACCAACGTGATTTTGAAAGTTCAGCTCCTATTTGGACTAGAGTTACGATGCCAGAATTCATAATCGCAGGGAGCTGTCACTCTGCTGGTCTGCATGTGCATTAACTATTAATGGAGAAATATTTAAAACCCACTCGCAAAGGAAAAACTCTGTTTTTTCATTTCTGCAGATCAAAGGTGGCATTATTCT